GGAAGTCCCGGCTCCATTCCAGCTCAGGACCCCTCGTCCCCCTCCCCACCCCTCTCCCCTTGGTCCTAGGGCAGCGGGCGTAGTAGTGCGGGAAAGTGACGACCACCCCCCAACTCTGAGGGGACGGACGCGGGTGGACTCGTGCTTCCAGCGCTACCCCTCAGTCTCTCTTCCCGGGGGGGAGGGGGTACAGGACCGAGTGACAGCTGCGCAGATGACGCCCCTCCCCCTCGGGAGCCCGGAGCCCGGGGCCCGTACAATCCCCCACGGGGGTCTGAGTGAGGACCTGGACGCGTGGGCGAAAGGACTGGGGGTTCCAGTCGGAATCGCCCGTTCTGAGCCTCGGGAGGTCGGGGTCCAGGACTCGGTTTCGGGGCTGTGTTAGCTGCTAACCCCCTCTCCGATCGGGGGCGACGCAAAGTTTTGGGAAGTTGCTTGCCCCTACCTTGCTTGGTGAGCACCAGGGCGTCTTCCCTCCGCGCCTGGGTGATGATGGAGCCGTGTTCCATCTAACAATCCCGCGGGCCCGGGCTGGCTGGGCGGGAGGACCGGCGGGCGCGCGGGCTGGGCTGGGCTGGGCTGGGGGGTCCCTTCCTGCTCCAGGCCAAGTGTGCAGACTGGTTTGGATTAAGGGAAGAGGAAAGGTTCTGGAGGCTGCTTGTCTTCTCTCCAAAGGTCCTTCCTTTACCCAGAGGAGACAGGCTCCTTGAACCTGCCCTTTCTTCTGATCCCTCATTCCTCAGCCCTGGGCCAAGGGCAAAAGCCAAATATCCTGGGGCCATATCGAGGCTGGGGCCCAAAGGAGGGCAGTACAAGTCAGGCCCTGAGAAGAGAAGGTGGAACTTCAGGGCCTGCTCTTGTTGGGGGGCCTTGAACATCCCTGGCTACTGTGGAGATATAAGGGACAGGGACTTTGAGATTAGACTGCAATAATTGTGACACAACCTCATGCCTATGTATAAAACTCTAAAAAATGGTTAATTTTGCATTCTATTTTCTGTTCATGAGGTTGGCAAGACTAGAGTTACTTGGTCTGTGCCACTGATGGGGGGACAAAAGCTCAGAAAAGAAGGGTTTCCTGTGTAAGGTGACCCAGTGGTTTGAGATCAGAGAGGAACAAGGGGTGCGGGGCTGGGCTCGTGCCTCATGCCTACCTACCCAGGTGGGACTGAAGGAAGGCCACAGAGTGAGCTCTCCACTGTCAGGTCTGCCCAGGCTGGAGAGGTTCCTTGCAGGCAAGGGGATGGCGCAGTTGAGCTCTGAAGAAGGGAAGCTAGGCCACTCCATTNGCTCCGGCTCCTGCTCGCGAGACTCGGACTCCCACAGCTGTTCACATCCCTGCTCTCATTCCCTCCCTGGGCCGGGAAGGGAGGCGGCCTGTACGGAGAGCTGGCGGCCCGGGCAGCAGCTCCCCCGGGTGCCCCCGGCCCCGATCCCCCGGCGGCAGCTCCGGGCTCCTCAGTTTGGGTCCAACATGGAGAATCCGGAGCGAAAACAAGAGGAGGAAATGGGACACGGGGCGGTTTCCAGGCTCCCCCCTCCCCTCCGTACTCCAGATAAACAACCCGCGGCTGCAGAGCCCACCCCCGCGCGCCTCCCAGCTCTCGACTCGGCCTCTCCACGGCCCACCGGCGCTTCACGGTGCAGAGCACTGTCCTAGGCCCCAGGACCCTCTGTGAGTGAGCAGCAGGGGCTGCGGAACATCCGGAGCTTTGCTATTTTGTTACCGAAAAAGCAAATCCCCGAGGGGGGTGGGGTGGAGGGCGGGGAGGCTAGCAGGGGAGACTTGAAACCGCTCCGGCGCTCCTATTGGCCCTCTCCGAGAAAAGGGGCGTGCCCCCTCCTTACTATGCGGTGCGAGGACCCAACAACATTCCAGTCGCTCCGGCCACGCCCCCGGGCCACTCCCCTTTCGCTCAGCAGCTGCCTCCCAGTCTCCTCGGCCACACCTCCTTTCCAACAACTTAAAAGCACACTCCAAAGCTCACGTTTCCCAACTCGGTGCTGGGGTGTTCCGGTTTGTGCGTCTTTTTTCGGGTAACCAGGGCAAGCTGCGAAGCCTAGCCCAGGTCTGGCCATGGTGGGAGGATTCAGGGCAGTTCTTTTACTTCCTGATTGGCCCTCGAATCGTGGACCCACTGTTTCACATAAAAGAGGACAACTATCGAATCCCGAAAGACGGACGCTGGACTCCAGAGTATCAGCGCTGGAACTGACCTCGTGATGTCAGACCCCCACACTTCAAGTGAGACTTGAGGTGCAGGGATGTGCGCAAAGCCACTTATTTGCATTTAGGGTTTCTGCCTTTCTCCCCTCCTCCTCACCCACCCCTGCCCCCTCAGTCCCCTCTTCCCCTAAGTACCAGCCTCAGTTTAGATGGATGGAGGTCTCTAAGGGAAGAGCTTCAGGTCTGTGGACTTGTTGGCCTCCCTCCTTGCTCTTAGGCCCCAGGCACCCTCTGCTGGCTATGGCTCCTGGACTCTTGTGGGTCAAAGTGAGGGATATACATTTGTCCCCAAGAAATAGGAGCTTCAGCAAGGCAAGTTGCGGCTCTATATCAGGTGTTTTCCAGTGAACTACATCTGACCACAGGTGACATGGACTGCCTTCCAAGGAAGGGAACGGTTAAAGTCAAGGCTGGCAAGAGTGATGTAGAGTGAGGTTGCACTTGGTGACTTCTGAGCTACTTCCAACCCTAACAGTCTATGATTCAGTGGAACTCACCCTGCCAACGAAGGGGCTTCTAAGAAGGTCAGGACTTTTCTGGTCCCTGGGGAGTGGAGGCAGCTGATGGCCTTTCCTGCTGCAGTTCCCATTGCCCAGCAGCATACACTAGGTTTTACTGGGGGTGGGAAGACAAGTAAGTCACATCTTAACTAGCCAGGTACTGTCAAATACCTGCTCCCCTCCGGTGTATGTTTTTGTGTGCCTTAACAGTACTCATGTGTGCTTGTTCCTACACATACATACACAAAAACCTTTTTACATAACACCATTTTAATGGAAATGCTGTTTTCCCAAAATCAAAGCTGTTACAGAGGATCTGAATGATGCTTATGTAACTTTAAAAGCTGAGTTTGGGTACATCCCAATTCATTAACAGAAGTGGAAAGGGGGGAATTCTCACATATTAATTTACCTCCCATCATTATTAAAACAATAGAATTCTTAAGGTAAATCTTCAATAGGTTGCTAAGGGGCCTTTTTGGGTCCTGCCCCCACCCTCTTGAAAGGTAGCTCAGTTGCAGTGGGAGGCAGAGGAGTGAAGGCAAGAGCAGGGTTTTGAGGGAGATGTGCTACCCAGAGCTATATAGTGTTAGGCAGGACACTTCACCTCTCTACATTTCCATTTCCTCATCCACAGAAGCAATCCCTCCCTATTTTGTAGTTTACAAAATACTTTCACATACATTATCTGTCTCATATGATCTCTTCTTTAGGGTTAAGAGGGGAAATGCCCATTTTGTAGATGAGGGAACAGGGTCTGGAAAGTTTAATGGACTCACCTAAGGTCTCACAGCTTGTTAAGAAGAAAAGGCAGAACTAGAAGTTGTCTTTAGACTTGAAGACTAGAACTCTTGACATTTGACCATAGTTCCTTTCCTATCTATAGGATGGAGGAGATCCTAGTTACTGTCTTTTCTTACTAACTCTGACTGCATCACCTCCTCTGGGAAGCTCTCTTAGATACCCACTCTCACATCCCGGCTTTATAGCTCCCCACATACTCTCTCAAAGCACTAAGCATCAGGTCTTGCAACTGTTAGCTTGCTTATTGGCTTCCCAACCAGAAAATGGATTGAGACTAGAGATTGTATTATTCATTATTGGGTCTCCTGTGCCTAGCATAGTGCCTGACACAGAGCAGGCTGCCTTTATGTACTTATTGTATGAGTCTTGATTCTGTTTTAACCAGTGTTTTTTTGTCCAGTGATCCACAGCAAGAAACCCATTTTATATTGTGAAGTACTTGAAATAAGTTTCATGGGGACAATATTTATCCTTGCAATATGGACACACCCTGATATTTTCTATTGTATTTATTGTAATCTATTTCATTTTTTTAAGGTGCTGGCCGTAACCCTCTAAATTGATTTCATGATCCACTTCCAGGGTGTGATCTACAGTTGGAACAACACTGCTTTCATCTCCCGTTTGCTGTGGATACCGTATGGGGAGCTCTAGCTGTTCCTGAAAGGTGCAGAGGAGATGGCCCTCAAGTACCTCTTGCTTTGAGGTCAAAGAAAGGTTTATGTATAAGAAAGCAGACAGAAACTCTTCTAAGACCTTAGGCACAGGCTGTGAATAGAACCCAGGGTGGGGGTGGAGGGTGGGGGGTATTAGATGAGGGAAGGTCTGAGAGGCCTGGTGTCAACCTCTGTACCTCCAGAAACTATAAAGGCAGTGACAGCTTTACTGGAGCCTGGAACCCCAAAACCCAGATAGGTAGGGGCTCTTGATGGCATGTGCGTCTCACTGCCCTGTCCCCAGATTATGGGTCTCCATGACAGAAAGCTGTTTGGGGTCATGATGGGCCTCTTTCTTATAGTTAAGAGGATGAGGGAGGTGGGAGGCAAGTGGACATTCTAACTTCTGCCTAAAACAGTCTTTAAAATAACCTCCTGCCTCTAGGCCCTGGGGCAGTTGCTGGCTGTGTGACTTTGGGTAGGCTGGTTAGTTAGGTTCAAGGGTGATAGCTGAAGCCAGGGCTCTCTAGGCCTAACAGCTCTCCTAAGAGAAAGCTATGGACCCTCTCTGGTCACCTATCTGTTGCATTCCTTTACCTCACCTTTTCCTCAACTGCTGAGAGGCAATTTGGAAACAGTACCCTTCCCCCACCTCAGTGCAAAAAGTGGGGTGGTGAGGGTGGGGCTCAAAGGAGTGGCAGTCCCTGTCTGTCACCCATGTATACTCCAGTTGGACTGGGTGTTCCTGAGCCAAGGTTTGGGAAAGGGAAGCAGAGCTGGAGAAACTTCCTCTGTGAATTGCACGTTTACTCTAAAACACTGTCAGCGTTGAGCTGATGGAGACCTTTCATAACCTTATGGTGCTGTTGAAATGTTCCATTAAAATTAAAAGAATTTTTGTTACAAATGGAAAACATCCATTTTCTTGGTTTCTCTGATTGTTCCTGCAGTCTCACTTCTGTTTTGTATTGTAATTGGGAAGGTGGGGTCTCAGCTCCATCGTCTGGAGCCCTGTGCCTTCCTGTCATGAGGCTTGTGTGGTTCCTTGGTTCCATCCTGGCTGCACAGGGCAAGATGCAGGGGGTGAGGTGGGATGGGTTGAGGGAAGGAGACCAGGTGACAGTGACTGAAGAGCTATGGGGGTACCAGATGCTGGGGCTAGGGAGGAAGGGAGAAGCCTGTGGAAATAGGTAGAAGCTTCTCTGTAGAGTAGCCTGGGAAATCTCACTAGGGCTCAGATTTGGGATACTGCATTCTGCAAGGTGCAGGCCTGCTCATCCATCGCATCCCTACTACTTAGTTACTTAACCTCTTGATTTAGTTTCCTCATATTAAAATGGGGATAATAGTAGTACCTACTT